AGACTGCATCTGCGCAGCCATATCGAGTATTGTGCCGATTCTGGACTGCACTTGCGCAGTTGCATTGAGTACCGCATTGATTCAGAGACTCCATCAGCGCAGCCATATCGAGTATTGTGCCGATTCTGGACTGCACTTGCGGAGTTGCATTGAGTACCACAATGATTCAGAGACTGCATCTGCGCAACCATATCGAGTATTGTGCCGATTCTGGACTGCACTTGCACAGTTGCATTGAGTACCGCATCGATTCGGAGACTGCATCTGCGCAGCCATATCGAGTATTGTGTCGATTCTGGACTGCACTTGAGCAGTTGTATTGAGTACCGCATTGATTCAGAGACTGCATCTGCGCAGCTATATTGAGTATTGTGCCGATTCTGGACAGTGCCAGCGCAGTTGCACTGAGTACTATGCCGATTTTGAGAACAGTGTCAGCGCAGTTGCACTGAGTATTATGCCGATTTTGAGAACAGTGCCAACGCAGTTGCACTGAGTATTATGCCGATTTTGAGAACTGTGCCAGCGCAGTTGCACTGACTACTATGTCGATTTTGAGAACAGTGTCAGCACAGTTGCACTGAGTACTATGCCGATTTTGAGAACAATGCATTTGTGCAATCACTTTAAGTACTTCGCCGATTCAGAGACTGCATCTGTGCAGTCACATTGAGTACTTTGCCGAATCAGAGGCTGCATCTGAGCAGCCACATTGAGTTCTTTGCAGCGAACATTACCGATTTTGAGAATTGTGCGCGGATGCACACTTTGCAGATTGCATTGCCAACTTTGAATCTGTACTTTGCAGCAGGCACCACCCATCTGAAACTGAGTACTCGCGCGCACTTCGCAATTGACCTTGTTGGTATCGGACTCGTACACCTGAGTTTCATTGCGCGCCCAGTCTCAGATTGGCTGTTTGAATGCGCGCCCAGTCTCAGATTGGCTATTTGAGTGCGCGCTCAGCTTCAGTTTGGCTGTTTGAGTGCGCACCCAGCTTCACTTTGGTTGTTTGAGTGCGCGCCCAGTCTCAGTTTGCCTGTTTGAGTGCGCACCCAGCTTCAGTTTGGCTGTTTGAGTGCGCGCCCAGCTTCGGTTTGGCTGTTTGAGTGCGCGCCCAGTCTCAGTTTGGCTGTTTGAGTGCGCGCCCAACTTCAGTTTGGTTGTTTGAGTGCGCGCCCAGCTTCAGTTTGGTGGTTTGAGTGCGCGCCCAGTCTCGGTTTGGCTGTTTGAGTGCGCGCCCAGCCTCAGTTCGGCTGTTTGAGTGCGCGCGCAGTCTTAGTTTGGTGGCTAGAGAGCATGCCCGTGCGCGCCCAAGCTTGACATTGATGTTTAAGTGTGCGCCCGTG